AAATGGTCCATTGGTTTAGGGAGAAATGTTAGGTTTTGGAAAGACTGCTGGTTAAGGGATCTGGGGCCGCTTAAGCTTTTGGCTTTCGCACCTATTGATGAGCAAGATCTCTATAGATGTGTCAAGGATTACATGGTGTCGTCCGGCTAATGGGATTGGGAGGCCCTGCACCGAGTGTTGCCAATGGGTACGTTGCTCTAGATGGCAGCAATACTGACCCCTAAAGATGACAATACCTCGGACTCCTGCTTTTGGGGCATGACAAGCTCTAGGTGCTTCTAAGTTAGCTTGGCTTATGCCCTTCTGAAGAGCGATTATTGGCACCTGAAGGAGAGGAATTAGAGAGACATTTGGCGTTGACCAGGTGCTCGACGGGTGCGTACATTCCTCTGGTTGGCTGCTAAGGGTAAGCTTTTAATAAATTGGGAGAGATACCAACGTCATATGTCCTCTACTGCGGAATGTAATAGGTTGTGGTGACCCTTTTGAGGATGTGGATCATGTTCTCTGTAAATGCAGCGTGGCCAAACTACTGTGGTTGAAGATCATACTTGTTGAAGCCAAATAAACTTTATTCAATAGTACTATGGATGAGTGGTTCGTGCTGAACCTCAAAAATAATTGACTTTGGTGCAAGACATTTCATGGTTAAAGAGTAGACCTTTGGCCTTATTTGCTGGAGTTTGTGGAACCATAGAAATAAATTTTTTTTCTAAGAGAATGAGAGCAGTATAAATGAGCTTGCTAAGGATGTGTCCCTCATGACTGATTATAATTTTATGGCTAATAATATGAATATTTGTTTTCTTTAAGGTATGATGCACAAGTCGGAAGAACTTGTACCTTGGCATAAACCACTCAAGGGTTGGTTGAAGGTGAACATTAATGGTGCTTATCGTGCTGCAACTAATCTCGTCTGCTGTGATGGACTTATTAGGGATGAAGATTGTGCTTGCCTGAGAAGGTTCAACAAGAAGATTGACAGATACTCTTTCTTCATCTAAGCTTTAGGGTGCTTTCGATGGTCTTCAACTCGCTTGGAATGCTGGATTCCGTAGTATTATTTTATAAATGGATAGCGTTTTAACAGTGCAGTTACTTACTAAGGAAGATAACGGCACTAATGCGCATACCACCATCGTTCGTGAGATCAAGCACTTGCTATTGTAGAATTAACAAGTCCAGATCCAATATGTCTATCGCGAAGGAAATAAATGCGTTGATTGGTTCGCGAATGCTGATTTCTCACTACTGATTGGGCTCTATTCTCATGTTCAGATACCGAATGATCTCTAGTAGCTCATCACTGACGATATCATGGGTTTGGCCGGATGTGCATAATGATTTTTTAATTTTGTTTTGGCTTTTGCCTCTCCTTGTACCAAAAAGAACAAAAAGTTTCATGCTCACAATTCCAATGATAAAGCTTTTGGAAATCGTGGGGTATTCTAACTCCGACATTATTTGTTGTCTCAATGGCAAAAGATCCAGTTTAGACTATATTTTCATGTTGGCCTGGAGCATGGGAGAGTGTTAAACAATCACACATATCTTTTTTCACTGTAGAAGTATAATTTGTAACTTGTTATGAGATATCAAACCAAATAATATGGTCGCAAAATTTTATCATCATGCTCTAAATTTTTAATGATTTGAGATAAATTATAATAATAAAACTAATGAATTGTGTTTGTTGAACACCAGAAGCACATTGAAACAAAGTTTCTTGTTGTTAAGGAGAGAGTTCAAAGCCTTCAAGTATCTATTAAATATATCAACATAAATTTCATGATTGGAGATGGCATGGGTAAGGTTCATTGTGATGTTGCTCTTGTTTAGTCAAAGTTTGTTTCTAGATGTTCAATAATCATTTACATATCTTTTTTTTATCATAATTAAGTGTTATTTTTATTACTGAAAATTATAACACAAAGTTATTTTGTTAAACTCTTATTAGTTATAGACACGACAAGAGATCATGTTACATATAATTTATATCCTACACATCCATACATGATCTATGTTATTGATTATGTCAACATAGGTAACAACTCATGGGTCTAGTCACAAGAAACAAGACAAAGATCATTTTGATCCTATATTAGATAGTTAATGGACTAGATTGTTTAGAGATATTACCTGATATGGATAATAAATATTGTACTCATAAAAATAATGTTTTGAACTATCCATTAATCAAATGGCAAGATGCATTCCCATATACAGATTGAATGATCTATGATGGTTATACAACATTATGCTTGTGTCATACACGAAGATGTCATGCATTACATGCAAGTTTTGGTTTAAAAAACAAAAACACATGCCTAAAGTTTTTCTAACTTTATTCTTGTGAAATCAAATCGTCCACCTGAATTGTTAACCTTTGTTTAGTGTACCATAACCATTCCAACAAGATTAGACACTTACGAATGGCATACGTTCGAAAACTTTACAACATATCTGCATATTTAACATCAGTACTTACCCACAAGATCAAATCAACGTAGAACACAATTAGTAAGTGGAAGGATACAAAACCAATACAGTACCCGTTGTAGAAATAAACAAACACTACCAATAATGGAAAAAGAACATGCTCCCATAATTTATTTAATGACAAAATGCATATACCATATCAACCATCTCATGGAAGAAATTAAATCCAGCACCAGTCATCTTTAGAAAACCAAATCAAATTTCTTTTCTCTGTGAGACACCTTTCCTCGTTTCAAGGAGAACAATAATTCACAAAGCATTCACTAAATTATCGAAGCAACATTCTCTCAATCATCGTTGTAGGCTCCAATCACCCAACTGATCCTTCTGAACCAGGCTGTTCTCATTCAAGTATTCGGCGAATTCATCAATAAGATACGGCCATGCACCTTCCGCATCATAATTTGACAACGCAGAGTCAACCGTCTGCACACCACAAAAAAAAAAAAAACACTGAAGACATGAGTTTTATGCTCAGTAACATTGAAACCAAACTAGACTAATCAGTCTTTTTTTTTTTCCAGTTCCGCTTAAAACCCAAAATTTATTAATTAATTTGTCTTGATCTCCAGGAAATTTGGGTAAAAGATACTAAATTTTATAAATATGATATATCTTATACCATAGTTACAATTAATTCTATATTATAATTTTTATGCTATGTTGTGACTTCTAATACTGATTTATCATTTATTTGATTAAAAGTAAACAGTGAAAAAATTAATATATATATGAGTAAAAAATTATTAATTATTGTACTAATAAAATTTCAAAATTTTTCTCTGGAAAAAAATTTGAAATGTTATGATCCAAAGGACACAAAAAAAAAGAGTACTGTGATTTTGGTTCATTACCATACAAATTTGATTATATTAAATTTTCAAATTTTCAAAAACAAATTTTTAACCTAGATTTAAATTTTATCCTTCAAACTGAAACAAGTTCGCAACAAGTCACTTTCAATTAATGAAAAGTAAGCATGATATTTTCCCCCTCTTTTACAGGTTTCGAAATGTGAAAGGACTTCCCTGCCAAACCCATTTTCTCTTGTAGAAGAAGAAACTGGACCAGTGTGGCACATTATAAAATATCAACCAAATTATCTCTTCTACAAGACTAGAATTTTCAATACTGAAAATATTAACAAAGAACTTGCAATAAATTACTCATCCTCCACGTACTGAAATTAAAAAAAAAAAAAAACCAACCACATGAAATCTGTTTCTATTGTACTGGAATTTAAATTTCTTTTACCCGGAAAATCGTTTTAGAAAATGCAATAAAACAGAGTAAGCACCAAAACTTAAACAAACAACACAACTGCCAGTTCGAGAACTAATAACAAAAAAATAAAATAAATAAATGATCATGTTATCTCGAACCTAAAGCTCCATTATTATACGAGAAGCATAAAATTTCTACCTAAAATAGGATTGGCAAGAATGGAAAAGTAGTAGTAGCAGTTGAATTATATAGCAACTCCACATGAAAAGAAAATGAATAAACAAATGTTTAAAAATATCTTACCCTCGCAAACTCCAACAGTTGAGACCATGTGTCCCTAGAGATTGCTTTATTATGCCGGGCCTAATTTTGCAGGCATCAGAAAGACAAAAGGTTAGAGTTCAAAGTGTAGAACGCAGATGATATGTTCATAGGTAGTTATGCTTCCATATTATAGAAACTTCAGTTCAATCATTTACTTTTAAAGTTGGACGATTTAGCGATCAGCAACTAGGGGAAAAATCTGGAAAACGCTATATTACTTGTGAATGATAAATAAAAAAAAACACTAAAAGAACATTTGAAAAGATAAAGTCCCATCTCCACAGCTTACAAGATTCACCAAATTTTCAGAGAGGAAGCTGGAAGGATAAACATCAGTATTGTTAATATACGACTAGAGCTGCAGGAAAAGCCTGCAGATTTTATTAGTTTACACCTGGGAGATAGATTGAAGATCACAACTAGGACCCAGATGGACAACTGCAAACCGCATTCCTAAGCAACGCTAATGCGTAGCAGATATGCAAACTGAATCAACTTATGACTCATGTAATGCTAGGCATCTACTTGGCATGACCACCCTCCCAGAGAATTGATCAACTTTACGCATTTATAAACTTAGACCAGAGACGTAAAAGTTATGAACTGGCCTTGTGCTCTCTATGTTGTCAGTTTAAAACAAATGGAAACAACACATGTACCCAGACAAGGAAACGTCCTTGTTTCTATTTTATTTCCTGTTAACCCCAACATTTAAGTGGCACCAAGGTGAAACAGTCAACCATGCAGATTTGAACCAAGAAGCATAGATGGAGAATTCCGACCAATAAGAAATGCTCAAGCATCAATGTAGCAGCATAGAGACTGAATTTCTACTTACAAGTTTGAGCACAAAAGAATAAGCATTAGAGCAGTCTATTACAATGTTATATAAGAAGAATAGGAACTAAGGAAATCCCAGCAGAAAGCTATATTGCAACATTTGATCCATCAACAGATGGAGAGCAACAAGAATTTTTAGGACAGCCAAATCTTATTAGTAAAATAAAGAAAGATATTCTGATGAAGCTTGATGGCTCTAATTCTAATAAATTTCCTGAGGGCACCAAGTGGCTGTTTACATTTTTTTTTCATCAATATAAGAACATCTCAGGATTACATCCACAGAAATGTTCAGCAACAGCTAATGAGATTCAATTAAAAATAGCAGCTCCACTCAAATCAATAACAGGTATATAAACAAACAATGACAGCTGTAAACAACTTTTTTCTTCCTTCCTGAAACTATAAACCCTTCTTGACCAAGTTTCAAACACAATTAGGGAAGGATGGTTCAATATGGTGAGCTACCTGTAGGAACTGGCACCAGTGATCAACCAATAGCCACTGCCTTTCAGCAAAAAGCAATTGCCACATGCCAATTGCTGTATCCAATGCCAAAGACTTTTGGCCCTGAAATTAACAAAGAAACATCAGTTACTAAGCACTACAAAGTAACTAAAGTGGTTGAGAATTTGGAGAATCCATTATGCTACCATAGTCAAGTATTGTTGAACTTCAGATGGTGTTAATTACATTCACAAATAGCCAAACCTCAAGCTAGGACTGTGTATTTCAGTCCTTGGTCAATAATACTTCAGATCCATTATAGAAGTCAGTGCCAACTGCATTATGTGTACACATTTTCTGCCAATATGAGCGTAATCAATGCCTTCTATCTCTTATTGATAGTCATAAAGGGATGATCCCAAAATCTGAGATGCCCCAGCTTGTAATTCTTAATCAATGATTTAATCAGAAATCTGATTTAGCTTATCTAAAGATTTAACATCTGTCATTCTACTTTTCTGGACAGGCATGAACCAAAAAGACAAGAAACAGAATATTATAGAACAAGATAAGCTGATCCAACAGAAGTGTTCGCTTGTTTAACTAGAGCAACCTTTCCTGGCTAGGGATTTGAAGGATGCAACAAAAAATTCAGCTAATAATTTCATGCAAGATTGTCTTTTTTTTTGTAACAGAAGATTATTAGAAAGAGAGGAAATAAGAGAGGACAAAATACCGTTTAATAAGGAAGGAATAGCCAAAAACATAAGGAAAAGTACAGAGAAAATGAACAGCTCAATCCCAGTCAGATAAAGAACAAAGAACAACCCTGCTAAACACCCCCTCCCCCCGAAAAAACCATTGCAAATTCTCTAGAAGGTGGTGAGTTAAAAAGGTGTTGGAACATCCTCTTATTACATTTCAATCACAAAACCGAAAGAATAGCAAAAGAGCTCCTTTCTAAACTCTCATGAGCTTTGCTCCTATTCTGTTGAAGATGGAAGAGATGAAAATATTGGAGGTGGCAAGCAAATCTGCCTCCCCGGACAATGCAAAGAATTCAAAGATCTCCCAAGCCACAAATATGTACAATAAACGACTCCTACTCTCAAACTTTGACAACACATTGTACAAATGACAGGTGGCCTAGCCCCATGCAGTCTGTGTGATTGTGTGTGGTAACAAATCATTGTGTTAATCTGATCAAGTACCAGAATCCAAGCGAAAAAGTTTTTCTTCCAAAAGGGATTGGTGAAGATTAGATTCCTAATCAAGGGATGATGGGAGCAAAACTAGAAGGAATATATGCAAGTAGGCTTGGGAATCTGAAGACCAAAATCCAACATAGAAAAGATTATTTTACCAGCCAGTAGATTAGGAGAGAAGACATTAAGATGTTCAGTTAAGTGCATGTGTCCGACTGACCGACATGAGATGACATGTTGCTTAGATTATCTAATTTTAGTGTCATAACCTTGTTAGACAGGACATGTCTGGTATGGGTGTGGGAGATGTGCCCAACACTTGATGTGCATGTTGGACACTTGATGATCTAGACAAAGAGGTTACCATATAAGATAATATAAAGATGATAATAAAGACTCTTTCGTTAGATATTGAAACAAACACATAAATGGAAATAAACATTCTTGATTGTCTTAAATGTTTTTGTTGGTTTTTTAAAAATAAACACTTATTCAGCTATACATTACTAACTTGTATCATTTTTTCATTCACTGCCAGCATGAGTGCTACTTTTTACTAAAAACCGCATTTTGTTATAGTTTCCTAAAAACTTATGTTAGTTTTGTTATCTTTCATATCAGATGACTCCAAGCACCAACATCCAACTAGTGCACTATTATTGACAAATTCCCTGTATGTTTGACTATAAAAATAATTGACTAGAGACACTTAAATCCATATCAATACCAGACACTTGAAAGCAAGGGAAGAAAATCATCAACCTTCACCGTCATTGACAATAGAAGTCAAGAGGAGGAAAGCTACTTTCCTATAGAGCTCCTATTAGTTGCTCAAGTTAATTAATACTGCAGGAAAACCACTGGAAACAATCATAAGCCTCAAACTAGCTGTCTTCATAAAATGACCTGTAACTAGATCAAGTCAAAGTACTCAACAAATTGGTAACATAACCCGGTTGAGTATGAGTTATAGAGATATTCATTGGGAGGGTAGTTTTATATTTTAATATTGTCGTAAGAAGTGTATATTAATAAGAAATTGTGACAAGGAAAATGTAAGCTGATTTTTTCTTAATAGAAATAATTTTTTTTAAATTCAAGATATCGAAGGGTTCTCTCTTAACAAGGCTTTATTAATTTTTCAAGGTAACTCGTAAGGAAAAAGAAATCCCTCAGAACACCAACCCTCAATTAGATATCTATTAACAAAGACCTGTAACTAGATAACAATCAAGAGATCTAACATAATCGTTATTCTTTTCTTGAAAGAAATTAAAATACCACTTATAGATTCTATCTTAATCATAATCTAATTGTGACTAGAGAAGCGTAAAAGAATTAAAACAATAAATAAATTCCTAAAAAGTATTACGAATTCATAATCTTACCCACACAATTACAATAGATACCAGATCTGAAAGACATACAATTCCATCTTTCAGAAAAAAAAAAAAAGGAAACACAATTCCAAGATCTATTTAAAAGATCTAACTAACTATTTGTGTCACCCAAAATTATACCTGTTTGGCAAACTCAAAAGATGTGCCTATACCTGCTTCCTATTTAGAATCTTATAAAAAACATTTTAAACACTAGAAAAAGCATACTGACCCTCGACCTTTTGCGTAGCTACTAGCAAAGGGAGCTTCACTCTTAACAACATCAACTTACCCACCTGTCTAGAATATTTTCCATGTTGTTTTACCAAGACTTAATTAGTAACATCTTTTATAAGACACTTTACAAGCATGTATATGTTTATTTTAAATCGGCAACTAAATGCTATCACTTACTTATAAGCACCTAGTGTTTCAAAAACTAAAACTATTTTATTAATATAGGTACAAGAATGTAAGAAATCCTAAGCCAAAAAATCTAGTTCACCAAGACTGCCAATCCAAAAACCTTAATAATTCTAACCTACAAACCTAACCCCAAAAAGTGGTTGGAGAATCAAATGGAAGGGAAGGGAGAAAAAGAAAAAGAACAAGCTTCCATAAATATCCGTTGATCCAAACTAGGCCCTTCCATCAAGGTTCATGTAACCACGCATATATCACAAATAGAAAACAAGAATTTGGATTTTTAACCAAAGATAGAAAGAAATGCTCTGGCATTAGCAATATAAATCAAAACAAAAGAACTAGCTTTCACAAGGGAAACAATGCAAGATAATGATAAACAAATTATAGTAGAAGTACAAATAGGTACTAAATAGGATTAACACAAATGTTCTCCATAGATATGGAAACCAAATATGGTTTATCTCTAATGTTGATTTGCTATTGGAGTTCAATAATGGTAACTTGTTACTCCATTATCATGCGGCCAAGCAGATTTGGAAAACCAAAAACTCTCCTTTACCTGAGGACTTGAGGTTCTGTCCTGCTACATTGGGCTCTTCCAGTTCTGATCATTTTCAACAGCATTGAAGGCGTGAAGAGCATGATGTTTTACCAAAACACACTACTTTTGCTGGTCTATGCGTTCAGTACTTGGGACAAAATGATAAGATCTTCCAACCGCACTCAGTTCCCAGATTTCCTTTGGAATAGAACGGTGATCTTGGCTTATTGTTTTCAGGTCTTTTAATGAATGGATATTTACCTCTTTGCTCATTCTCTTTGTTTCATTTATGTTTTTGTTCTAGGAGAATACCATATCCTCCCTTTTCTGTACCTTCTCTCTTTCTTACAATTTTTCTTTTCTTGTAGAAAATTTTAATATGAGTAAGTGTGATGAAAATTCTTGGGCTATATTGTTGATGAGCTTCCTCTCACAAATGCGTTACCTACAATATTTTCTATAACATATGCCACACAGCACAACTTTAGAGGCAAGAAGGAACAAGATTGGGCTGTATCATTATGAACTTTTAGTTGTATATTACTTTCTATCACATATAGCACAAGGCACAGCCTTTGCGGCTAAAATGCATTGACTCTAGCACATGCCATAACAAGATTATGCACAATAAAACAGGAACAAGCAACATTCACCATAATCATGATTGATGGGGACAAAAATGTATACCTTCTCCTTTGCCCAGCCAAAAGCAAAGTTATATATTTCACGGAACTTTTCTGCTAAAGCACAAGAAGATCAATTTAGAGACAGCATAAAACAGGTAATCCATGACTCTCAACAGTTACATTTTTTACTTTTAAAAAAATTAAGAAATAAATACACCATAGTCATAATCGTTGAGGAATTTTATTTATTTTACAATTCATTTCACCAAATAAAAGTTAGAACTTAGTAAATAATGAAATATATGAACCACCATACTTACGTTCATCTTTCAGCTCAGAGCGCATGAATGGTATCCTTTCACGGAACTTTTCCAGAGAATCTATCCTGCCACCAAATAATTTAGCTTTCTATAAGACTTCTATCGAAGAAATCCACAAAATCCTAACCATTAATCATTAGAATCTAGAAACAAGTAACAAAAGCATAATGATTTATGTCCTCACCCTAATGCCTGTAATCCACCAATGAACTCCTGCTTAGAGAACTCACACATTGTGGCAGCCTTCATGTGCCACGAAACAACTAGCTGCAACAAAGACAAAAAAGCCGAATCACCAGAGGTATCAGCCAAATGAATAACTTATGCAATTGAATATCAACAATATGAAAATTAGAGATTAAAACCAAACAGACACACAATTGTAATGATAACTAAAGATTTAAGTTTAACCAAAGTCAAGCAAAGAACAGAAACTTTTCAACCCCATGCAAAACTACTTAAAATCCACATAAAGATCCAGTCTGGAAAGAGAATTGTCCCAACTCATCAATATGACCTATAATCATGAAATTTCATCCACATGCACAAGCAGATGGCAGCAGAGCCTCGGGAGCATGAGTTATTTTCGGCGTATAAACAATTCGCAATTGAGATCAATCAATATTTTAACCTAAAAGTAGATAATAATTTATATTTTGTAGGCATAAATTAACACTTCTCAAGAAAAAGAAAACATGTTTTGAGAGACCTTAATGGAAAGTTTCTACTCCTCTCAAATCTTATGTACATATTTCCTCACCACATAACCAAACTTTCTGAATTCGTCTCTTAAGGAGTTGGGGTAAAGAAAGAAGCTAAGATCCATTTGAAAGGTCCCCTTTTTGTAGCCAGATCCTAATGCTAGAATCTTCAAGGATTAGGTATCCTCCCAGTATCTGGGATAGGATGACTTTCTTGAACTCTTTGTGGGCCAAGGCTCAAGTGTGTTCCAGAGATGTCTCTTTGAACTTGTTATAAAGGGATTAGGATGCTGTTTTGTATTCCATTTTTCTGACTTGTTTATTTTCTCCTCCTGTTCTTCTTGGAGGCCTAAGAGGATGGCTTATCCTACTCACTTGTACTTTCTTCTTCTTCTTCTTCTCTCTCTCTCATAGTAAAAGAAGTTTTATTGAGAAAATGGGGAATGGAAAGAAAACAGCAGGTAAGTTATCCAACTGAAGCCAAAGAAACATAACAGAAACTAAAAGTAGATAACACAGAAGAGGACTCAGATTACGTGACTATAGTATCCAAATTCCTATAAAGACCAGTAAGGGAAAGGTCAGAATATTTCCAATGAGCCTTGGCCCAAAAGGAAGCCATCAAAGTCATCTTTTGTAAAATAAGCATGTCTGGCAAAGATTGGCTATCAAATATTTGCAGATTTCTTTCTAACCAAACTTTCCAAAGACCTGCAAACAATGCTCCTTGCCACAGTGGTCTAGGCTTCTTTCTAACTGAAACCACTAATATTGGTGTTGATGAAATATAAGGAGTAACCCATGATAAGTTAAAAGTGTCAGATAGTCTGCTCCATAGCCTCCACGCCATCTCACATCGTAGAAAGAGATGATTATATGTTTCCCCTCCTTTATGACACATTAAACACATTTCAGGAGACAAAGCTCAATTGGACCAACAAATTTGCAAGACATTGGTGTAGTCGATTCAGAATTGCTATCCACACGAAAACCTTCACGTTTGAAGGGACCTTGATTTACTAGAAAGCTTTGGTAAGAGTGTTGGGGTAAGAAATCTTTTTTATGTGATCAAAAAATGATTTACAGGTATATGTCCCCAATTATTTAAGGGTCCATACCCTGCAATCAGACTGCTCAAAGGGTTGAAAAGATTGTAACAAATTCGTCATGTTAAAGAGTTTTGGTTTCTTTCTCTATCATTCAAAGTTGGGAGAAAATGAAAACACCAAATGAGAGGACCGTTAGAAAAGCAAAAATACTTGCTGATCGGAGTTTTGTGCTAACATGATATGCGAAAAAATGTGGAAACTGGGTAGCCAAGGTCGGTTGCCCCTCCAAAGATCTTCCTAAAAAAGGACCTTGGAACCATCTGACACTTTCTACCTAGTTAGAGGTGTATAGATGTTACATATCAAAAAAGAATATAGATGTTATGCAATCCTCATTCTTATCTGCTCTCTTTAAACCTTCCCCTCCATCTATTTCTTCTCAATGAAAACCCTAGAGATCTTCTTTGTTAAGTTGTTGAAGTTGCGGATCAATGATGGAGACAGAGATTTTTGCTTTCCAGGCAGAGATCAACCAGTTGCTGAGTCTGATTATCAAAACCTTCTACAGCAACAAGGAGATCTTTCTTCATGAGCTTATCAGCAATTCTTCTGATGCGCTGGATAAGATCAGGTTCGAGAGCTTGACAGACAAGAGCAAGCTTGATGCTCAACCTGAGCTTTTCATCCACATTGTCCATCATTGATAGTGGTATTGGCATGACTAATGCCTGATTTGGTGAACAATCTCGATACTATTGCAAGGTTTGGTACCAAGGAATTCATGGAAGCATTGGCGGCCAGAGCTGATGTGAGCATGACTGGGCAGTTTGGTGTTGGTTTCTTCTCAGCTTACTTGGTTGCCGAGAAGGTCATTGTCACCACAAAAATATTTCAAAAGAATAAAATAGATGTTAAGCAAATAAAATAGATGTTAAGCAAACTGGAAATAAGCTTCCATAGACTTTTGTGTTGTATGGATCTTGTGGCCACTGCATCCCAACTATTCCACTTACTCCCGTGAACACTTTTGATTACTTTATACCATAAAGAATTACGTTTCTTCGAAAAAAGTCTGAGCCACTTAACCAATAATGATAAGTTCATAGATTTAAGGTTCCCCATGCCCCAAGCTACAAAAGCTTTAGACCTGCAAAACACCTCCCGTTTCACTAAATGATCTCTCCTCTCCTTACTGTTACCGGCCCGTAAGATTTTCCTCTTTGCACCATCTAAGTGCTTAATCACACCAGTGGGGACCTTAAACAAAGACATGTAGTAAATAAGGATACTAGACAAACATGCCTGAATAAGACTGATCCTACCTCCCAATGAGAACAGACTTCCTTTCCAATATTGTAAGCGCCTACTCACTTTACAGACCACCGCATTCCAAAATGACTTACACCTAGGGTTACTGTCCAAAGGAATGCCTAGGTATGCAATGGGCCAAGCTAGGGTCACGCATCTAATTGTCTCAGCTAGATTGTTCACTATGCTGTCTGGTTTATTAATACCTACAACTCCACATTTTTCCATGTTAATGTGAAGCCCAGAGCTATGCTCAAACATCCTAATGAACGTGAGTGCCTTAGAGATAAGACCTATTTATCATGTAATAGGAATTCATTTCTCTATCTATCAGTAATACTTCCTTTTTCATAAAAAAAAACCAACATTTCGAAATTCAGAATAGGTAATCCAGAAACCAGAAGCAACGGATTCAGGGTAGTAAAGTATGCATACCATGACTATATCTTGAGGATCCACCTGCCAAAAAATAAAGGTTCATATGTCAATCGTACTGTGAAAAATAAATGGTTTTAGGCTTTGAGATGCCTTCAATATAACAGATAATAATTCCAAAATAATCTTGAGCTGAAGATTAATGCCAACAGTAGTATACTACTCCAAGATGAGTGAAATGTAAATAAGTAGGACAGTTACGGGGATCAAGAATACTAATCAACTGACAATAAGAATGGCTACCTGTAGGTCATTGCAAAGGAGAGTGATCCCATCAGCCAGTATCATATCAGAATATGGATCTGCAGAATATGTTGGAAAAACATTTAGCATAACAGTCATTAAAAGCTGTTTCAAAAACAAAAAAAGCTATCTGTACAAGGTGCATTCATGACTAAAGAAAGAAACTGTATGTCAAATTGCTGAACTTGTTTCGGATCTTCGTTTTGAAAAGATAACAACAAACCTTTTTTGAATCTTATCACCAAAATAGGCCTAGTTTTTATATTGTTGTAAAATAACTGTAAGAAAAAAGAGGTTTAATATAGACATCTTTCGACCACAGAAGGAAAAAAGAAAAGAAGACAATTATTTGTCTAAGCATTAAAGAAAAGAAGACAATTATTTGTCTAAGCATCGCACATCAAAATATAAGAAATGCAGTGATGCTTTCTCAAACTGAAGCTAAACAAATAATTAATTTGATTATAATAGTAACATCCCAATTTAACAATCAACCAAACGAGATTATCAGAGATTATGATAAAAATGCATGAAATTTAGCAAACCATTCCTCAGTTAATCTAATATGGTCCCTAATTTAGTATCTAAATTATAGGTTTGGAAAATTTGGAAACAAGAAAGAGGATCTGCAGAATGTAACTACTTCTTATCTGTCCTGTGCTTACTAGGTTGATTTGGGAGTCAAGAGAGAACCAATATCTTCAAGAGTTTTTTTTTTTTTTTTGTGAAAAGAAAAGAGGAAGTATATATTCACAAGCACCAAGGGGGTTCAACCCAAAACTGAACATCTTCAAGAGTTATAGTAAATAATTTTCTTTCTGTAAAACTCTTATTGCCAACAAGGACATAATACTATCCCTAGGTAACTTTTCATAACTAAACACCTCACACATCTAATAAACAAAAGACATAAATGAGACAAAAAGAATTAACTGATAAAAGCTAAAATCTAATAAAGAAAACTCTCTTGATGCAACCAAGACTTTATCCTAACTGAATCTTTCTGTGCCAAATCTGTTGAGATGCATATGCTTTTTTTAATGCTAAAATAGTAATAATACTGTTACAATCTAGAAGATACTTCATAAACAGTATGTTTACTTTCTTTTCTTTTTCAACATTGTATGGTTTTCGTAATATAAAGAAAAGTAATATTTTTTACAACATGGTATCGGAGCTTGGTTACTGTTGAAAAAAAGAAAAAGATGTTGTGAATAATATTGTAACTTCCATAGAGTTATCTGTTGGGGAAAAAAATCTTTTGAGCAATAGGAACACATGGTGGTTTTTCTTGCTCCTCCACTTTAAGGTCCATGGATATGCATGTTACTGCAGACAAAATAGAGATATTTACTTGTTCATTAGGAGCTAAATCATAAAGATCATAGGATAACCATTATCCCTTCCTTGCATCTCTTTTTGTTTCATTATAACATGAAAGTTATTCTTCTTTTGGCATTCCTAACTCGTTTCCACTCTTTCCACACTTAAATTAAACAATATCCTTACTTTTAGAAGGAGTCTTAGAAATTGGTTTTGACCAATTCTTTAGCTTACCTTTTCATCCAAAGGTATCCATAGAAGTGCATTCCATGACCAAAAGTTCAATGGTCTTCGGAATTGGATATTTCACATATTCTTCCAAGTCAAGAGCAGTTTGGTAAGATTGTGCTATGATTGGAGGAGGCTGCCAACTTAATCCTCTTTTAATATCAACTACTTTGAATCAAAATGTTGTTTGACTATCATCTTGTACTATCTCTAAATTTTAATTCTTCAAACTTTTTTGAGTGTACTTGTTGATATGAATATTTTGTTTTCTAACTAATTACGATATTTTCTTATATAATTCTTACCATTAATTACTTCCGTAATATTGTAATTATTTAGAATCTCAACTATAAAGGTAATTTCCCTATGTGTCGTTTGTAATACCAAACTAATAAAAAATAAATTAAATATTTTTTCTCAAATTTCTAAATAGCATCAGAGCAAAATAAGGGTATTTTAGGATTTTAATTTTAAGATTTCTTTCAATTCCTAGAATATTCTCAAACACCTACCCAAATGTAATCATTGCCTCAATGCTGGCTGGCCAGCCGCCCTTCTCCGGTGAGCATCTCCACCCTACCTGATCGCCTTGCTCCAGCCATTCATGCATGGCTGTTCGTCTGGCCCTTCGTGCAGTAGCTGCTTCATGTTTCTCCTTCATGCACACCCAACCCAACTCAGTTCTCTCCTTTGCGCACGGCTCTTTCCGTCACATTGTCCCTTCGCTCACGGCTCTCACCTTCGCGCATCGCAAATTTGGTCTCGTCCGACCAATCTGCTCTAATTCACGCACGGCCATTCGCGCAAGAGGCTGCTTCGCGCGTGGGTTTTGCTGGTTTCACAGCAAGCTCCTGCTGGTTTTTGCTTCTCTGTTTAGCTGCACTCAATTTTTCACACGGACCGCTGGTTTTGCTTCTCTGTTTTGTCGCACACAGGTTCTTTTCTTGCTGTTCTCTAGTGGTCATGATCTGGCTGGTATTTTTCATCGCTTATTCGCGGTGTTGCTCCTCTTCCGCTCCAGATTTTGTGGCATTATTCCTCTCAGATTTTGTGGTATTATTCGCAGTGTTGTTCTCCGGCATCACAAATTTTTTCTGGCCTCTATGTTGTTTTGGAGGTTTGTTCTATCCCTATGAAATTCGTTATTGGTTATTATTCTTTTTCTTGTTTCTAGTACTCAAACATGACAGAAGTAAAGAAACTACTAGTCCCTAATTCTGACAACACATCATTGCAAGTAAGTCTTATAAATCTTGATTGAACTAATTATCTTATTTGGTCAAAATCTTGTTTACTGTTTATCAAACTAGAAGATTGCAGGATTATTTTACTGATAATGAGAAGAAACCAGATGTCAGTAGTTTAAAATATCACATATGAGACTCCGAAAACTTCTTGGTAATATCTTGCCTCATTAATTCCATATAAGCTCACATTACCCGAAAATATTTGTTGCTCAATATTGCTACAAAAATATAAAAGGTAGTGTCTCTAACATATTCATAAGTGGACAATGATGCTCAAATTTATGAACTCCGGAATAAGATTCACAGCACAAATCAATGAGAGTTGATTATCCCTTAGTTTTTTTCTAAACTTAGTGAACTATGGCAGGATCTCGATTACTATCAAGATTTTCAGCCAGATTGTTCCGACGATGCTGTTAAATTTTGAAAAATGATAGAAAATCAGCGGATTTATAATTTCTTGGCCGGTCTCAATGCCAAATATAATCATATACAAATTCAAGTACTTGGTAAAGATCTCCTTCCCTCATTAGAACAAACCTATTCTTATGTTCAACAAAAAGAAAATAAAAAAATTGTTATACTCCACATAACACCAGTTGAGAAAGCTGGGTTAATTGCTCAGTCTGATCACTCCAAAGACCAATGGAATCGTGACTATTGCAGCAAGCCAAGACACACTAAGGAGACTTGTTAAAAATTGCATAGACGACCCACTAGAGGTCGTGGGGGAAGGAAAAGAGGACCTATGAGAGCTCAAGCACACTTGGTTGAGACAAGTAAAGCACCTGACACACCAACAGTTGAAACTTTTTCAACCGAAGAGATTTAAAACCTGAAGTGTATTTTATCTAAACTTAACTCTTCAACAACTATTAGTGCATCAAATATGGTACAATCAAGTACTCTTTCTCTCTCTCATATTTTCACTCATGATATTTGAATTATAAACTCTAAAGCTAAGAGATACATGACAGGCTCTTCCACTAAATTTCTAATATATTTTTTTCGTACTAAATAAGAAAATGTTCGTATAACAGATGGGTCATATACTACTGTATCTAGAACATATTTCATTAATTGTACCCAAACTATTATATTGTCTTCAGTTTTACATGCGCCTAGTTTTCCTAATAGTCTATTATCTATTAGTACCATTATTCGAGATCTAAACTGTAGAATTTTTTCCTGATTATTGTATATTTCAGGATCTTCAATTAAGAAACAGGATTGGCATTGGTATACTACAGGATGACTTACATGTGTTAGAGAGAAATCAAAATCTAATTGAGAATCAAGCCACCACTGAGAACAAGGAAGTCAATCTGAAAATACTACAATGGGCACCGGTGATTGAGGCACCCTTCTTTTTCTGTTTTAGAAAAATTATATCCTAATTTGTTTAAGAAAACTTCTATGAATTCTTTATTTTGTTATACATGTGAACTTACTAAACATAAAAATAACTCTTATTATTTGAATAATAATAGAAGTTTTAGTCATTTTATGACTATTCACTCTAATGTGTGAGAACCTACTCAGAATACCTCTTTATCCAGTCATTGATGGTTTGTTACTTTCATTAACTGTTGCACTTGCTTAACATAGATTTACATGTTGAAAGCAAAAAATGATGTGTTTTCGTGCTTTAAATTATTTCATAAAATGATATGCACATAATTTGATACTTAAATTAAAATTTTGAGAACTGACAATTATACGAAATATATGGATAGTGGGTTCCACACTTACTTGGAGTCAAATCGATAATTCACCAGACAACTTGTGCCTACACCAGTAAACAGAATCGATCTGCTAAAGAAAAAACAGACACATACTGGAGATACCTCGATCACTAATGTTCACCATTAATCTACCTAAGAGTTATTGTAGAGATACAGTTCCCTCAGCTGCCTACCTTACTAATAGAATGTCTTTACGAATTCTTTATTTTAAAAGTCTTCTAGAGATTTTGTAAGGTACAAATTCTTATACTATTCCCCCTAAAGTGTTTGGATGTGTTTGTTTTGTCCATATTAAAAATCTGAGTGACCTGAAACCTAGAGCTCTCAAGTGTATATTTGTTGGATATTCTTTTACTCAAAAAGGTTACAAGTGTTATCATCTACTGTCTAAAAAATATTTTATGATTACGCATGTTACTTTTAAAAAATCTAAACCATACTTCAGCTCCACCCCAACACTTCTTCAAGGGAAAAATGAAATGGAAGAGGTGATACCTAGTTCGGTAACCTTTGACAGTCATACTCAGGAGTAGAATTCTATGCCAGAGGATCTTATTCAAGAAGAAAATGTTGGACGACTAGATAAACCGAACTTGAAGAGGTATTCAAGGAGAGATAAGATAGAAAAAGTCATCATACAGTCTATCCCATGTCAAGAATCTTTCTCAATTCCTGAAGATACTGGTGAGTCATCTTTATTTTATGAATTATCTGATAAACTCATTGCTTTTAAAAAATGGATCAGAACTTCTACTAAACATCCTATGTCTAATTTTATTTCCTATGACTCTCTATCTCCCTCCAATAGAGCCTTTGTCTTATCTGTTTCCTCTGTATTTATTCCACAAGATTTGAGAGAAACTCTAGAAGATTCCAAATGGAAGGAAGTTATGATTAAAAAAATGAAAGTATTTTTCAAAAAATGAAACATGAGAGGTTATTTCAACCCCAAAAGGAAAGAAAATGGTTGGTTGCAAGTGGAACACAAAACAGATGGGTCGATTGAGAGATACAAAGCCAAACTAGTGGCTAAAGGAGTTTACTCATATCTATTGAGTTGACTATTAGAAAACTTTTGCACCTGTCGTAAAAATAAATACAAATAGAATACTGTTATCCTATGCAGCTAATCTTAATTAGAACTTACACTAGTTTGATGTAAAAAATATTTTCCTCCATTGGGACTTAGAGGATAAAATATATATGAAAATTCCACCTGAATTTGAAAATGAAAGAGCACAAGGGAATGTTTGCAAATTAAAGAAGGCCTTGTATGGATTAAAACAATCTCCAAAAAGTATGACTTGAAAAGTTTAGAAAAAACTATGATTTTGTTCAGATATCAATAAAATAATGTTTATCATACCTTCTTCATCAAGCATTGTGAGGGTAAGATCACTCCTCTCATTATTTATGTAAATGGTATTATGGTGATTAGAGATGATACAAAGGACATGACTCAATTAAAGAGACTTTTTACTCGAGAATTTGAAATCAAGAATTTAGAAAAATTGCAGTACTTTCTGTGAATTGAGGTTGCTAAGTCTAATAAAGGAATTTTTATTTCTCAAAAAAAGTATATCTTAGATTTGTTAAAAGAGACTGGAATGATAGGTTGCAAGCCTGCTAATCCCTTATTGAAAGTAATCACAAACTACAAACTGATAGTGGTATATTAATTGACATGGGAAAATATCAGAGATTGATTGGAATACTCATTTATCTCTCACATACCAGACCAGATATAACATATGCAATTAGCCTGATGAGTGACATGCATGATCCTCGCGAGACTCATTTACATGTTGTCTTTCGAATATTATAATATCTGAAATCTGCATTAGGAAAAAGTTTACTCTTCTCCATAAATGGTCATCTTAAGATAGAAACATTTACAGATATTGATTGCGCTGGATCTCCAGATGATAGAAGGTCAACTACCGGTTATTGCACACTCGATAGAGGTAACTTCATTACATGGAAAAACAAGAAACAGAGTGTAGTCATCCGTTCTAGTGCTGAAACAGAATATAGAACAATGGCTCAAGGGGTATGTGAATTATTATAATTGCAAAAACTAATGAAGAAATTAAAATTGTTTAAAGAATGAAACCTATCATTGTTTTATGATAATAAAACAACCATTAATGTTGCCCAAAATCTATTTCAACATGATCGGACGAAACACATTGAAATTGATCGTCACTTCATAAAAAGAAAGTGGTTGATCGCTCCTTATGCTTATATCATGTATCTTCTAACAATTAGGTGACAGATATCTTCACTAAAGGACTTTACAATAAAACTCTTCACAACTTGATATGCAAGTTGGGTATGTATAATATCTTTGCACCAACTTGAGGAGTGTTGACATAAATATTTTGTTTCCTAAATAATTGTAATATTTTCCTATACAGCTCTTACCATTAATTTCTCTCATAATTTTGTAATTATTTAGAATCCCAACTATAAAGATTTTTTTTTTTTGAAAGAAAAAGTCTCTACTATAAGAATAATTTCCCTATTTGTACTTAGAAATTTTGTATATATATGTGTAGTCTGTAATACCAAAGTAGTTGTGAAAAATAGAGTAAATATTTTTCCTCAAATTTCTATAATACTTCACTTTATATCACATGTTTCAATTTCTAGTTGACTCCTTATATTCTCATCAATACTGGACCACCATAATTTTGCAAGTCCAAAAAACTTCATTTGGCATGCATCTGACATGTCAAACCAGTTCAAGTAATCTTCCATTAAGATAAAGCAGCAAAGGAAAAAATCAGGATCTTTTTTTTTTTTGAAGTAAAAAAAATCCGGATCTCTTCTTCTATCAAAATATGAGTTTGCTCCTATGTTTAGTGAAGCACTATATTAACAAATATTAGAAAAAAAAATGAAATTATTTGCATTACAATAGAAAAATAAAGAGGAATTAATAAAAGAAAATCTACCCTTAACTACTTTTATATTTAGCAAAATTTTCATTCTTGTTAATACTCCTATACTTAGCCCTATGATGGTGAGAGTGTATGGCAACCTCGCCCCAAAGTTTGGGTAGCCATTCCATTGGTAGGAGCTCCAAGGGGAATGCTTAAAGTCTGGCACACTAGAGTTGTAAGTACGGTTGATGTGGTTGAGAAAGTTTTCAATTTTATAGACCAAAACCATAATAATAAACTCCCAAATAGTATATTTAATAGAATTATGATTTCTGATCCATCAGGCAATCCAAAACTTCTCCATTTTGCATCAAGTTCACCCTAGTCTATATCCAATTTGAGATTAAGATCCATAGAAGCATCAACTAGTTTAGATCCTAACTTCCCTGCCTCATTAAGAAGATAAAAGATATGCTTTCTTTGTGACAAACAAGTTTCCAATTTTAATGTAGCTATTTTTTATACACAAACGGGATATCGGACAATATGGTCAACTTTAAATTCAAATTTCCTTGATAATTTAGGAAACTAAAACTTGGACAGCAAGAATGAAGATCTTACTAAACATAGGAGTAGTTAAGGCTGGATTTTCCTTTATTAATTCATCTTCGAATTCCTATTTTAGTGCTACAAATTCTCTCTTTTTTTAACTTTTTCCTATCAGTATTAAGAGTACTTTACAGTTCTGTTTTTCCTTTTTATGTAGAAATAGGTTATATCTAATTCTAGGGAGTCTAATATATAAGAAACAAATCCTTCATATTCACTTCATTATTAATAATCTTTTCTAAAGAAGTCTCTAAAATTTTCCTAGTAAATTTCAAGGTATTTACTGCTAGTATAGCAACTAGCCCATCTACAGGTCTACATTGAGTCACATGGTATCAGAGCAAGGCAAATCTAATATGGCTGAAGGCAAACACAAGCACACCATCCTAATGACGGGGATCAAGGAATAAAGACCCTATAGGCAACAATTTAAAAACAACATGCAGGAGAAAGTTAGGGAGCACAGCCTTGAGGGGATCTACAAAATGCTAGTTGGAATTATTCTGGAAGTAAACAAGAATCCTAATGAAGCCAGGGAATAACCAAGCTGGAGACTTAATTGAATTTTAAATTGTATTAACACATGCATTATACTTCGGAATTACAGCAATATGTTTCAAATTCTTATCATAAATGTGCTAAAATAGATAAACAAATATATATATGGAATAAGTCAAGTAAAAATGTAAATCTTGCCTTTATATCTCTTATAAAGCTCCTCCAAATGCCTAGTATCAGTGTAAGTTCTAATTTGGGGCTGGCTGTAAAATACATCAAATGCACCTTCAAGATTCCAATCACTAGCCTTTAAAGCCTGAAGAGCAACCTTTTCACTGCAATTATATTCCATAAAAGAATATTTCAAAAAATTATATTCCATAAAAGAAAAAGAATTATCAAACCGCAAAGCCTCCATGCATCAATTACAATAGACACATATTCATAAGGGCCTATAAACACCCACCAACTCACTCACATATGATATGAATACATGTAGACACACAATTAGACAGGCCTGCCAAGGACACCAATAACCAACATAAACATCAAGCATCTCATGTTTCAACTAAATCATGGATAACATCAGGGTGAACTACATCATTAGTCCAAAGACTTCTATTAATGTATAAATAATAAATTGATCTACTCTATCAGCTGCAACGTTTGGGATACTTGACTATAATTAATTATTTGACACAATAAAAGAGCTAGATGTCTAGAATCAATATCTAGCTCTCACCACTTCCTACAAATAGAATTTTATCAAAGTAAAGAGAGCTTATGCTTTATCACTCTTTCAGTCTAGCAACGATAGCACATGAAAGGTGTGTTAACCTATAAATAATAAATTAGGTGATTTATTATGAACTTAAGCTTTTATATATAGTTTCAACTCCATTTCCTTGGTTCTCATTCAGATATTTTGAGAACAACTAAAGTTGAGGATTTCAAGCCTATGCCAAGGTGCTAGCCAAAAGGTCCATTAGGGGTTGGGGAGGCAAACTATAGGTGCCACTTTGATCGCTAATGAGGTTGTCCACTCTCTGCAAAGAAGGATGGTGAAAGCTTATTTTGCAAGAATGATTGTAGGGGAAAAAAATCTTGACCATTTATTTTGGGAGCTCCTGTTCCAGATGTTGAAGATAGTTCATTCTTGGGAGAGATGGTGTTTGTGAATGGGCGCTTACATCACCTATACCTCCTCAGCGGTTCTCATCAAGGGAGATCCTACAAATTTTTTTCTTCATACCCTCAAGAAATCTTAAACAAGGGGATCCCTTTTTTCTCTCTTCTTTTCATTTTTTCATGGAGGCCCTACAAACTGTTGCTAGCACTAAAAAGTGGCTGTTAATCCAAGGTTTGTGAGAGGTAGAGGATTCTCTAGAGCTAGACAAGTGTTTTGCTTATTGACTCTTATTTTGCAAATCAAATTCTAAGCTCGTCATAATCATCATATGCATTTTCCTTCGCCCTAAGCTGTCTACAGCTTAAAGATCAAGTCAGCTAAATCGAGGAAGAATTAACATGGGAAAGGGTTGGAGATGGGGTTATTTGCAGAAATCATGAGCTGAAAAAAATGTCCTCTTTGCCTTTGGAATATATTGCTTAGCCTTTAGAAGCTAAATTCAAAGACAGCCATTTGGAATCCTGAAGTGTCTAGTTGGGAAAAACCTAGCTAGTTGGGAGATGGGATTTTTATCGAGGGGAGAATTATTTGTCAAAAGCACTTTGTGTAATCTACCCATGTATTAGCTTAGCTCTCTTGCTCCCATTCTGGTCAACTAACTGCAAAACTTGATCACTCCGATTTCAACTTCTCGAGGTTATTTGAAGGCTCGAAGGAAGTTTCATGTGACACCCTTGGATGTAGTTTAAGTAACTAGTTAGCAAGGTTAATCTTATAATTGCCTCTCATTCACTTCGCTCCTTGCATCTAAAAAAAATTTAAAAAAAATAGGGCGCTCCTTGAAAAATGGCCTCTGAGGGTGGTGGAAGTATTGGCTTGATGAGAGTGGCTGCAAGGCCAAGTTGTCTAGAGATTCTTGTTGGTGGTTTTATTGAAAACAATCAATTTCGAGTTGGAAGAGAGTTCTATGCGTGTTTTCAATTGAACATTGGCTTTAGTCAAGTGTGAGATTTTGGAAGGATAAGTGGCAGAAGGTGACCATTTGCAATAGAGACACCTAGTTGTGTACTCCTTGTCTAAAAGAAAGTACATTGTGGCATGTTAGCACTCCTCTCTAGCTATTAGCTGGTGGTGTTGATGTCAGCCTACATCACCTCTCCCTCTATATAGTGGACCTCACTGGTGGGATGAAATTATATGGTGCAAACGACTCATTCAGCACACAATCTTTCTACTTGGGCCGAGAATTGCTTCTCTACTTGGGAAGCTATGAGAAGAGAGGAGAATCCTTATTATCGACCATCTTCAGAAGAGAGAAGATTTTAGTGAATAGTTGTTATCTTGTAAGAGCACAATTAAGACTAGATATTTGCTTTACTAGGCCCTCCTTCCATCTCCAGTCATACCCAGTTGTGTATTCATTATGTAAAAGAAAGTAGATTGTGCCATGTTAGCAATTCTCTATGGTTACCAACAAGTGGTTCTTGATGACAACCATTTGCAAAATTTGAATGATTAAGAGGAAGAAATATGTGCTAACCTCCATCCTCACCTCATTTTTGTAAAGTGAACCTCACAAGAGGGGTGAACCTGTGTGGAAAATTGGTAAAAAGGCTCTTTTAGCACCAAATCTTTCTACTTACATTGAAAATTGCTTCTTTAGTAGGGAAGCTATGAAAAGAGGGAGGATCCTTATTATCTAAATCTTAACAAGAGAATGAAGACTTCACTGAATAGTTGTAGCTTTGCAAGAGTAAATTGAGAGTGTAGGAGGGTGTTTGGGATTATTGAAAGAAATGTGTTCATAATAGTATGGAGTTTTCTATTAGTTAAAGCAAATAAATACTTAGAAAATAAGTAGTTATGCATTTGGATAAAGTACTAATTACAAAAGTATGCAGTATTTTTAATTAAAAATTAAAAAAATGAATATTTACTACAATTACTTCATGATTTACATGTGCATATTGTTATTTTAAGAGCATATCGAAAGAGTAATTAAATAAATTGATTAATTTCTATTTTCTAAAAAAATCTAAAAAGTTAGAATTGAAGTAATAACTTCACAATGACCTAATAAACACCCTACTTTTTGTGTTATCAAACACAAAGACTGGAATTAAATAAGCACTCACAGACACCCTCTAGTTCAAGTTCCCTTCTCCCGTTACCAATGATGTGCACTACTTTAGACTTCTTCAATTTGGACCAAATACGCAATCTCAAACACCTTGTAGTTCATTTCTCTTTCTAGGGCCCATCACCATTGATGTGCACTACTTAGATTTCCTCAGTTTGAACTGAGCAACAGCAAAGTGACAGCACAATATTTGTGGCAGGGCATCAAGATTTTTACACAACTCTGTTACTAACGAAATGGCGAACTTTGTCACAATCAGGGTTGATAAGGCATATGAGTATGTTGGATGTAGAGAAAGTTTAAAATCATATTTCATCCTTTCCCATAAGGCAAGTGGATCCATTAATGTATATCCACTTCTTTTGCAATCTTAATTATAGGGGGCCACTCGATTTTCTTCCCTCTTCATCTAGGGGCTCACAACAAAATGTCCCTTCGTCACCATGGCTCTTTTATCTTGCTGAAAGGTGTAACAAGGTGACCAACTCACTACTTGCTTATGACTTCCTTTTGTCTCACAGGCAACTAATTTAAATTGAAAGAATCAAGTTTGTAAAACATTCAAAAACATGTTTCTACCACCTCTCCTCTTTTTTTTTCTGCTTCTTTTAAGTCATTGGGAAATTACCTAGTCCCTAGGTATGTTTCCCCACATAGTAGCTTACTCTTTCCATCTTCACTATTTGGCATTTCAGCTTTTAAACCTACATACCATTCATATCAAGAGCTGCATTCATCACGTTTCTTAGCACTCTAAAACCAAGCCATCTCAAGCACATGACTTTAGACTGTTCTAGTTTTTCATGACTTTTTATTTTTCAGCATTTAAATTCAAGGGCATATGAACTAGAAATACCAGTACAAATCACTTGCAAATATCAGGTTACCTTGCTCCTGTTATTGTCACAAACTGCTGAATTTTGTCGCGGTGGCCTCTGCCCAACTTGTGCTGGCAAGAAGAGAAGAAAGTTATATATGTGTCTATAGAAAAAGTAAAATGCGAACAAACACATGAAAACCCGAACTTCACAGACTTCTAAAACTCCCTGCACACATGTACTTCTGTAGCTGAAAATCGTATTTACATAGTATAAAAACTGAGAAATGATTCCACAATTTTCTGTTAGTGATCAAATTTCAGCTTTTTGATTGATACCAGAATGACCTTCGTGCGCAACTACAATTATGTTTTTAACAGATGAACTTTATTTTAAAAAGTTATATAATTGATTAGGAAATTCCCTTTTTTATTCAGGTAAAAAACATAAATATAGATTTAATGAATCCCATGATTTTTCTTAGAGTTCACATATTCATACATAGCTTTGAATATAATACAGAGACTTACAGATTCAATATAATAAACGCGGTGGTAAACCTTTGAAAGGCAAAAAAAAAAAAACAAGTATTATCTACGCTTCTACTAACTGCGAAAGAACAATTACATTAAAAATTATATAATTTGAAGTAAATTTAGGAAATAAGAATGGAAGAAATGTTCAAAAGAAAATTTAACTCGAACTACAGGGTATAAAAAATATAAAACGAAATTAAGAATAAAATCAACCAAATAAGGATTAAAGAGTGATACCAAAAAGAGAACGCCTACAGGCTGAATGAAATGCTGATTGTGTCAACAAAAAAGGAACTAACCATTTCTGAAGGAGTTTGTAGGATAACAAAACCCTGATCCTGGAAGAGAAAGAAAAGCTGAAGATCTTTCCCGAACAAGTTGAAGAGAGAGAACCTCTAGGGTTTGTTTCGCTAAGCTTTTGCTCTCTCTCTCTCTCTCTCTCTCTCTCTCTCAAACTGGCGGTCTATCTCTCTCTCTCTCGCCCGACAGTATTGAAGGGGGAGCTGCGTGCCTATAGTTATAGTTGCTTTATAGTCCAGTGTTCCTTTTTGTAGGCTCTCAGTTATTAGAAAATATTTTGGAATGAAATTATAATCACTTTGAATTCAAAATTGAAATAACTGAATCTTACATTCTATCTATTTTTTAATTTAATATTTAATATTTTAATTGTTATATATATTCATATTATCAACACTAATTATATAATTGTAAGAATTATAGTTTGTGTTATAAATCTTAAAATATTTGTTAACTACTGAAAGTATTATTATTTTTAAAAAAATAAAAATTGTGTGATTAATAAAAATAATTTTTTCAAAATCCAATTTTATATTTTAAATTTTTTAATTTAAGATATAAAAATTTTATAATCAACATTTTAAAAAGCTGACTCAAATCGCTCAGACCCTCCATAACTTTGTGTTATACATATATATATATATATATATGTAAATGACAGTTGTATATATATATATATGGAAGCTATCTATATATTGTATATATAATACCTCCGAGATCTTCCCTAAAATATATAAATATATTAGCGGATGTTTAACCCGACCCCTGATGCGAAAGAAATGATATCTTGATTAACCCGCCCCGGATTCGGGGAAGATTTCTGTCATTTGTACCGGGTCGGATTGAGTTTCGTGAAACCCGCCTGACCCGACCCGCTTCCATGGAGAAGTGTTTCCTTTGGATTCTTGCCATGGAGAGAAGTTAGTCGAAAAAGGAGAACAGAGAAGCTTTTGATCTCTTAACATGGTTGACTTACACCGAACGAGAAAGAGAGAGAAATGGATGACAGACGGATCGAAGATCACTCGGTGCATCAGCGGGAGAAACGTTCCAGGTGCAAGAAGTCAAAACGAAGAAGATATCGCAAGCGAATCGCTAGAGAAAAAGCGAGTAGAGAGCTCGAGGAAGACGAAGGGATGATTGAGGAAGAAGCATCGACGTGTCTATAAAGCCGAAATGAAGAGGCGATAAGCGACAGCCAAAAAAAGAGATGATGAATCGGGAAAAAAAGAGGAGAAACGAAGAGACCAGAGCATATTGAATATAGGGTGTTAAATCCATCGGTTTCCTGAACAAACTGCAGGTAACTGTGAAATATTTAGTAAATTAAATATAAACTTATGTTATCAGTTTAGATATTTATTTATCCGTAAATGTCAGCGTATCTAAATTCAGTTTAGGCAATTGTTAAATATTTAAAGGTAAAAATTTTTTACTTTCCAAAATAAGCTGCATACTTTTATGAAATAGGAAGTGGTTGGACGTTAAGGTTCTCAGTTTCCTAAATAAACTGCAGTATATAATAGGTTTATCTAAATCCAATATAGCTAATTTATAAATCTGAATGTTGAACTTCTTTTAGTTTCTAAAATTGTAGATATACCTTATTCACATGTGTGTTCTTTCTTTGACAAAAAAGGAAAAATTTTACGGATAGGACAGTGGATAAATTAATCCCAGATCAATTTGGTGCTAACATTCTTACTTTCCTTAGTAAGCTTCTGGTCCTTGTAGTATATAAATAGAAACTTGTATGCTCCATATTCACAAATCAGATACAGAGTACAAAATCCAAGTTGTTATCTGTCAACACCCAGCTAAAACCACCTTAAAATTCTCTAGCTATCCATTTGTTCGTTTATCTTTTTCTAGCAAAAGAGTTTCTGGTTCATATTATCTTAGAGAGAGAAAGATGATGAAGCACGTAATAGATCTCTGGGCCTCCAAATATTGCAGAAGTAAGAAGATGCTGAAGCAATGTGGCCGCAGGGAATGTGATGAAACCCGGAAGATCAAAGGCACTGTTGTTTTGATGAAAAAGAATAAACTGGATGTCACTGACTTAGCTGCATTGGTTAGTGATGATGTTGATGAGTTGTTTCACAAGCATGTCTCTCTGCAACTTGTTAGTGCTGAAAACAGTGACCCTGGTAATTGCCTCCTGTCTGCTTCTCTTTAATTTTCTCAAGTTTATGAACATATGTTTACATATACATAACTCTATCTTTAAGTTTGACCATAAAATTATCAACTATAGACTGAACTCTAATTTTATGTGTCAATGTAGCTAATGGATTTCAAGGAAAACTTGGAAAAAAAGCTTTCTTGGAAAATTGGATCACAAAATTCACTCCTTTAACTAATCGCGAGACTGCATATCATGTCACCTTCGACTGGGACGAAGAGGCTGGAACTCCAGGAGCGTTTCTGGTACACAATGGTCATAACAATGAATTCTTTCTCAAAACACTTACTCTTGAAGATGTTCCCGGTCAAGGTCGACTACATTTTGTCTGCAATTCGTGGGTTTATCCCTCAAATGATCAAGAGAAATACCGTATTTTCTTTGTTAATAAGGTATGCATTAAGCATATAAAAGTACGTAACAAAGTGTTTGATATTTGTTTTCACTAAAGTATCAAGATTACTTCAAATTAAAGAGAATGTTAGCTTTTCATTGTATTAGTCTAAATAATTCTATGGTTGCTTCTAAACCACTTCTTAACAAAAAAGCTTAACTATTTCAATTTTAATTGCTTGATTATTTTTTCTAATAGCTTCTACATACAGTTTCATTTTAGACATATTATATAACTAAATTTCTAATCTTGAATGATCACAGACATATCTCCCAAATCAGACTCCATTACCATTATGCAAGTATAGAGAAGAAGAGTTAATGAACTTAAGAGGAGATGGAAAAAGAGAGCTCAAGGAAAGGGATAGAGTATATGATTATGCTTATTATAATGATTTAGGTGAACCTACAAAAGAACCTCGGCCTGTCCTTGGTGGTTCATCTGAGTACCCTTACCCTCGGAGGGGAAGAACAAGTCGACCACCAACTAAGGAAGGTAAGTGATTCAAGATGTAGGATCTCAATCACTTCGTTTAATTGAATAAAATATTTGTATCATCAATATGTCAGAATTAAAAGAGTTGTTAAATCTTTTTTATTCATATAATAACTACTTCTATTTTCTATTATATTATGACAGATCCCAAGAGCGAGAGCAGACTTCCACTTCTCAAGAGTTTAGACGTTTATGTCCCAAGGGATGAAAGATTTAGTCATTTGAAAATGTCTGATTTTCTTGCTTATGGAATTAAATCCTTAATCCAGGTTCTTAGACACGATTTCAAAGCATTATTAGGTAGTACTGACAAGGAGTTCGACTCCCTTGAAGATACCATGAAAGTATACCAAGAAGCCAATATGGCGTGCAGTAGCCCTTTACTTGAAAAGATCAAGAAAAACATTCCATTTGAGATGCTGAGGGAAATTTTCCGGTCAGACGGTGAAAGACACTTCAACTTTCCAGTGCCTCAAGTGATCAAAGGTAACAAGAAGACAACTCCTCTTATCAGTTATAAGATGCAAAACTTTACATTATCCGTTCTTGCCTTTACACTTTTCTCATTTGATTTTGTTGTATTGTTTAAATCAGATGATAAGTCTGCCTGGAGAACTGATGAAGAATTTGCAAGAGAAATGCTAGCTGGATTACACCCTGTTGTTATTCATCTTCTTCAGGTAAATTTGACAAGATATTGCGTGTTATGGTAGTTGAAGTTTTGTTTATTCTTAATATTCTGTAAACTTGTATTACAGGAATTTCCACCATCAAGCAACTTAGAACCTAAAGTATACGGCAATCAAAATAGTTCGATTAACAGAAGTCATGTTGAGAAGAACCTCGATAAGCTCAGTGTAGATGAGGTAATAACTGAGAGATTTATGATGAGCTTTATATTTATTGTATGATATGAACCATTCTAAGTATGAAATTTTTTTTGTTAACATATATAGGCACTGAAGCATAACAGACTATTCATATTAGATTATCATGATGTTTTGATGCCATACTTGAGGAAAATAAATGATACTACCTCCACAAAGACATACGCATCTAGGACGCTCCTTTTCTTGAAGGATGATGGGACTTTAACGCCACTCGCTATCGAATTAAGCTTGCCTCATCCTGGAAAAGATCAACTTGGTTGCGTTAGCAACGTATACACGCCAGCTCAAGATGGTATTGAAGGTTCTTTTTGGCAACTAGCAAAAGCTTATGTTGCTGTAAATGATTCTGGCTATCACCAACTCATCAGTCATTGGTATGATTCTTCAACAATCATAAGTTTTTAGTTTTGAGATGAGATTTTAAAAATTCAACTAAGAGATGTGGCAAATTGTTTATCACATGCAGGTTGAACTCTCATGCAGCAATAGAGCCATTTGTTATTGCAACAAATAGGCAGTTGAGTGTGCTTCACCCAATCCACAGGCTCCTTCATCCTCATTTTCGTGACACAATGTTTATCAATGCATTTGCTCGTCAAATTCTCCTTAATGGTGGTGGATTATTTGAAGCTACAGTTTTCCCATCGAAGTATGCCTTAGAAATGTCATCTTTTATGTATAAAAAATGGATTTTCACCGAGCAAGCACTACCTGAAGATCTCAAGAAAAGGTAAATACTCTCTTGATCCATTTCATGTTTCCATCTATCAATGTCCACCATTCCTTCATAAGTTACGAAGATCAAAATATACACTTTTTTGTATATATAGCTAGTTAGAACCTGTTTTTTCTTTTTCTTTTTTTTCATGAGATGAACATTAATTTGGACTGTGGATTTTTTTCCTAATATAGAGGAATGGCTTTCGATGATCCAAATTCACCACATGGCCTGCGTCTACTAATAGAAGACTATCCATATGCTGTTGATGGACTTGAAATCTGGTCAGCTATTAAAACATGGGTCAGCGACTATTGTAACTTTTACTACAAGAGTGATGACATAGTTGCAGCAGACAGTGAACTCCAGTCCTGGTGGAAAGAAGTCCGAGAGGAAGGTCATGGTGACAAGAAGGATGAACCCTGGTGGCCTAAGTTGCATACTTGTAATGAGTTAATAGAAACATGTACCATTATCATATGGGTGGCTTCTGCATTTCATGCGGCTTTAAACTTTGGACAGTACCCTTATGCAGGTTATCTTCCTAACCGTCCAACCATTAGTCGTAGATTCATGCCAGAAAAGGGCACTCCTGAATTTGATGAGCTTGTGTCTAAGCCAGAAAAAGTTTTCTTGAAAACAATTACTGCCCAATTACAAACCCTTATTGGCATTTCTCTAATCGAGATCCTGTCGAGACATTCAACAGATGAAGTTTATCTTGGAAAAAGAGACACGCCTGAATGGACATCAGACAAAGAACCACTGGAAGCATTTAAGAAGTTTGGAGATAAACTAGCAGAGGTTGAAGAAAAAATTATAAAACTGAACAATGATAAGAAGTTGAAGAATCGTGTTGGTCCTGTCAACATGCCGTACACTTTATTATATCCTACAGGCGAAACTGGACTTAGCGGTAGAGGAATTCCAAATAGTATCTCGATCTAATATTTTTTTTTTGTTGGTGTAGAATATCGCTTACAGATTATTTTTTCATACATATATCTTTTAAATTTGTAG